AATTCTTTAAAAATCCTACAATGTTGATTTTCTGGATTTTTTTTCTCATTTTGTCTCTCATAGTTGAGGTATACCTATGATGAAAATTACAGGCCTCTCTCATCTTTTTAAGTGGGAGAACTTGCACAATTGGTGGCTGACTAAATACTTTTTTGCCCCACTGTATAAGCTTGGACATGTATGACTGAATTCATATTTCTCATGATATTAAAAACCTCAGCATAAGATCGACATGAATTTGTGAAATTTATTTTGGTAACGTGTTTTGGATTTCTTTAAAAAACTAAATTTGAATAAATTAGATAAATTAATTCATTAATTATATTAAATTATACGATGTTAATTAATAAATTAAAATATATTATATTAATAAATGAATTAAATGATATTAATATATTATATTATATAAATAATTTAATAATAAATCAATCAATAAATATATGTTTAATATTATTATTTTTTTAGTTCCTTGAATACTGTTTTAAAAGTGTCCCAGGATGCAGCTTGTGACATTGATTGAGAGGTTTGGTTTTAAAGAATGTCATTAAATAATCCTCATACCTTCCATTTGTGATATTTGATCGTTTCCGTGACTTTACTGATCTTCTAAAATGTCCAATGTATAAAAATGTCAAGTTAAAGGAGCAAATGTTTTCAAACAATTAAAACCTCTAAAAGTCTTGAATGAAAGGTCCACTTAACTTTGCTCGAATTTTGTTATTGTATAACTGTTCATTAATGGATTTCTCTCTCTCTCTCCCTCTCCTTTTTTTAATTTAATTTCTCCTGGATTTGACTTCCAAAAGGGGGTGAGTTAAATTTTTGTCTTTTTCTTTTTTCATTGATGGGGAAACTGTTTTAAAACTAGTTTTCGGAGTCAAGATCTCATTTCATTACGTTTGCTTGGCTGTAAAGCTGCGTTCTCACTCAAAACAGCAAGAAAAAACACAGCAATTTAGTATTTTATCACATGTTGAAAAAGCTAGTTAATAGAAAACCTACAAAAAAATTGTTTAGTTCCTCTGTCTTTTTAAAGCATTTCAGGTCATTAGTACTGATAACTGAGTCCATTACAGCACATGTAAATGTTTGCCAGCGTGGTGAGAGGCTTGTCAGCGACATGCATGACGTTAGAGTTCTGGACCGCCGATTCCTTGTGACTCCTCGCAAGGTTACTGACTTTCCACAGTTTCCACTCTCGTACCCAGGTGCAACACAGACCAAAGAGCGAAGCTCAACCCCGATCATGCATTTCAAAGACTTATTTTCAGAAGGATTATGAAAGATAGCTTTTTAGCTCCTTCACCCCCCCCAAAAACAAGCTCAAATCCTTTTATTTGTCCCCCCTGTGCGCTTAAGAGCTTTGTGCCGGTGTTTGTGGTCCCTGTCCGGGCTGGAGTTCTCGCACTGTCCCGTGTCGGACCACCTTCTAAGAACCTCTAAGCCCTTCGCCTTCCCCGCGCAGACAAGATACAACGGCGGCCGTTGAAGTGCGGGAAAGATTAGGGCTCACCTCAAAGACTTCAACCACTTAAAGATAATCTGAAAGTAATAGAGCAGGCTGGGATTAATTGGTGAACAATCGCCCCAGTGTCCCCTGGAAGGGGGTAAGTCTGACCCCCATGTGGTGCCAAGCAAGCATCTCCTGAACCGGGACGGCGTGCCAAGCAAGCCACCTCTCCTCCGTTTGGTACAGTGCGACTGTGCTTGCCAGATGATGGTTTAAGAGGCGTTTTACCTGTAAAAAAAAAAAATCAGAAGTTGAAAAAACTCAATAGCTTCAGGCAACCATCATCAGGAGTTTTTAAGTTTACTCAATTTATGGAAAAATCATTGTATCAGTTTTACAATGTAAAGTTTCATCAAACGCAATATGTGACCCTGGACCACAAAACCAGTCTAAAGTCGCTGGGGTATATTTGTAGCAATAGCCAAAATTATACTGTATGGGTCAAAATTAATGATTTTTCTTTTATGCCAATAATCATTAGGATATTAAGTAAAGATCATGTTCCATGAAGATATTTTGTAAATTTCCTACCGTAAATATATTAAAACGTAATTTTTGATTAGTAATATGCTTTGCTAAAAACTTCATTTGGACAACTTTAAAGGCAATTCTCTCAATATTTAGATTTTTTTGCACCCTCAGATTCCAGATTTTCAAATAGTTGTATCAAATATTGTCCTATCCTAACAAACCATACATCAATGTTAAGGTTATTTATTCAGCTTTCAGATGATGTATAAATCTCAATTTCAAAAAATGTACCCTTATGACTGGTTTTGTGGTCCAAGGGTCACATATATGTTCTATGAACTCAAAATTAATGTTTTCAATTGTAGATCATTATTCAGTCAGCTTGCATTTGAAATTAATGTAAGTATTAGTGGTGTAGAATTGTCTTAGTTTATCTAACTTGTGTATCAATTTGTTGAGCAGTCAACCACTTAAAGATAATCTGAAAGTAATAGAGCAGGCTGGGATTAATTGGTGAACAATCGCCCCATGTGGCTTTGATGCCCCCCTTCCTGAACCAGGACGGCGTGCCAAGCAAGCCTCTTCTCTTCGGTTTGGTACAGTTTTGCGAGATGACTGTTTAAGAGGTCCTTATATGAATTTCCCATGTGTTTTACACTATAAAAAATCAGAAGTTGAGAACTCAAAAACTTATGGCAATGAGCATCAGGATTTGTTGAGTTTACTCAAAAAAAAAAAAGTATATGTATGTGTGTATATATAAATAT